TAGAGCGCAAACATTTGCGTAGCATTTATTTACATGGTAACTACATAGAAATTTCATCCAAAAAATTTCGTGAGAAACTGTTTCTACTTAAATTATGCCTGAATGTTTTCACCTGATTAAAGGGACGGCCAGTACTCAGGATCCATCGGTCTCGGGTGCCAGTTTTCGCCCTCCCTCGGATCTGCTCGCGGTTATCTCACGCGTGGAAATATCTCTACGTTGACAGTGCGTGGATTGAACATTGTAACTATATCCACCTATATCATGTAGTCTTGTTCCTTCGCATCCTCGCGTGTATAGCGATGTGCCACAGTCGCGTCTCCAGTCTTGGGATCATTGAGATCCTTAGCAGGTGCCAGTTTTGACCCTCCCTCTTAGCCCTTCGCTTGTTTCTCACGCGTACAAAAATCACTACGTGGACAGTGCGTGGATTCCAGATTGTCACCTACATCATGTAGTCTTGTTCCTTTGCATCCTCGCGCGTTTAGAGATGTGCCACAGTCGCGTTTTCGGTGTCGGAATCTATGAGATCCTGAACAGGTGCCAGTTTTCGCTCTCCCTCGGACCTCCTGGCGGGTTTCTCACGCGAGGAACTATTTCTATGTGGACAGTGCGTGGATTTGGAATAGTCACCTATGTCACGTAGTCTTGTTCCTTTCATTCCTCGCGTGATTTAGCGATGTGCCACAGTCGCGTTTTCGTCCTCGGGATCATTGAGGCCCTTAACAGGTGCCAGTTTTGGCCCTCCCTCGGATCTCCTGGTAGGTTTCTCACGCGTGGAAAAATCTCTTTGTTGGCAATCCGTGGGTTGAAGACAGTTTTGGTCCTCCCTCATATCTCCTCGCGCGTTTTTCACGTGAAGAAAAATCTCTACGTGACAGTGCGCGGATTGGAGATTGTCACCTATATCATGCAGTCTTGTTCCTTTGCATCCTCGCGCGATTAGAGATGTGTCACAGTCGCGGTTTTGGTCTCGGGATCTTTGGGATCCTTAGCAGGTGATAGTTTTGGCCCTCCCTCGGATCACCAGCGCGTTTTTTTCTCGCGTGGAAACATCTCTACGTGGACAGTGCGTGGATTGGAGATTATCACCCATATCATGCAGTCTTGTTCCTTTGCACCCTCGCGCGTTTAGCAGTGTGCCATAGTCGCGTTTTTGGTCTCGGAATCTTTGAGATCCTTAGCATGTGCCAGATTTGACCCTCCCTTAGATATCCTCGCGGGTTTCTAACGCAAGGAAATATCCCTACCTGGACAGTGCGTGGATTGGAGATTGTCACCTACATCATGTACTCTTGTTCGTTAGCATCTTTGCGCGTTTAGCCGTGTGCCACAGTCGCGTTTTCGGCCTCGAGATCTTTGAGATCCCTAACAGGTGCCAGTTTTGCCCCTCCCTCAGATATCTTCCTCTGTTTCCCACACGTGGAAAAATCTCTTCGTAGACAGTCCCTGGCTTTGAGATTGTCACCTGTAACATGTAGTCTTGCTTGTTTGCATCCTCGCACGTTTAGAGAGTGCCACAGTCGCGTTTTCAAACTCGGGATCTTAGAGATCCTTAGCAGGTGGCAGTTTCGACCCTTCCTCGGATCTCCTCACGTGTTTTTCACGCATCGAAAAATCTCTACATGGACAGTGCGGGGCTTGGAGACTTTCACCTATATCATGTAGTCTTCTTCCTTTGCATCTTTGCTTGTGTGAAGAAGTGCTACAGTCGCGTTTTAAGTCTCAGCATCTTTGAGATCTTTAACAGATGCCAGTTTTCGCCAACACTCAGATCTCCTCGCGTGGAAAGTGCGTGGATTGAAGTTTGTCACCTATATCATGTACTCATTTTTTTGCCACCTCGCGCGATTAGCGCTGTGCCACAGTCGCGTTTTCGGTCTCGAGATCTTTGAGATCCTTAACAGGTGCCAGTTTTGGCCCTCCCTTAGATCGCCTCGCTTCTTTCTCACGCGTAGAAAAATCTCTACTTGGAAAGTGCGCGAATTGGAGATTGTCACCTTTACCGTGTAGTCTTCTTCCTTTTCATTCTCGCGTGTTTAGCAATGTGTTACAGTCACGTTTTCGGTCTCGGGATCGTTGAGATCCTTAACAGGTTCCAGTTTTGGCCCTCCCTTGGATCTCCTCGCGGTTTCTCATGCGTGAAAAATCTCTACGTGGACAGTGTGTGGATTGGAGATTCTGACCTATATCATGTAGTCTTGTACCTTTGCATCCTCGAGCGTTTAGAGATAAGCCACAGTCGCGTTTTCGGTCTCGCGATCTTTAAGATCTTTAACAGATGCCAGTTTTGGCCCTCCCTTGCATCTTCTCGCGTGTACCTCACGCGTGTAAAAATCTCTACGTGGACAGTGCATGGATTGGAGACTGTCACCTCTATCATGTAGTCTTGTTCCTTTCCATCCTCGTGCCTTTAGCAATGTGCCACAGTCGTGTTTTCGATCTCGAGATTTTTGAGATTCTTAATAGGTTCCAATTTGGGCCTTCCCTCCGATCTCCTCTTGGGTTTCTCACGCGTGGAAATATTTTTACGTAGAGAGTGCGTAAATTAGAAATTGTCACTTCTGTCATGTAGTCTTATTCCTCTGCTTCGTTACACGTTTAATGATGTGCCACAGTTGCCTTTTTGGTCTCTGAGACTTGTAGGATCTGATTTCCTCTCTTTTCAAATTTTGCGGTGCCAGCTATTCCTAGGGTGTATGTCACGTTCAGTTAGAAAATAACGTTTATTTTGTGCATTTTTTGATAAATTTTGGCGGTTTCTTCCTGTGCGGGAAGCCCATAGAGGGCTTAAAATTCGTTGAAAACGTGCACGTTTTGCTCCTCCCACAAAATTCCACGCGTGTGTGTTTCACGCGTAACCATCTCTCGAATTACACATAATGTAGGTTTGAGATTCACGAACATTCTCTTTTTTCTCTACTTTTGCATCCTCGCGCGTTTAGCGAATTGCCCCACTCGTGTTTCAGCTCTCGAGAAGTCTGAGACATGTAGGAAATTATTTCCACTCTTCTCAGATTTTGCAATCCCAGCTACAATTAGGATGTATTTCACGTTTGTTTAAAACATGATGTTTGATTTCTGCCTTCGTTGATAAATTGTGGCGGTCTTTTCTGTCCAGGAAGCCCATAGAGGGCTTAAGGCTTCTTTAAAAGTCGCAAGTTTTGCCCTCCCTCAAACTTGCACGCGTATTTTTCACGCGTGCAAGTGCATTAAATAAAGCGTGGAGTTGAGATCCTCGCACGTTCACTTTTATGCTCTCCTCTCGCGTTCTCGCCCGTTCAGCGATTTGACCCAGTCGTGTTTTCAATTCTTAAGCTTAAAGCTTAATTAAAAGGTTCAAGTTTTGGCTCTTCCTCTAACTCGCGCGCGTTTCTTACGCGTGACCATCTCACGCATTAGACGAAGCGTGAGGTTGAGATTCTTGCTTGTTCACTTTTATGCTCTCCTCTCGCGTTCTCGCGCGTTCAGCGATGTGACCCACTTAAAAGGTTCAAATTTTGGCCGTCCCTCTAATCTTCGCGCGTGTGTTTCACGTGTGACCTTCTCTTAATTAATATCAATTAATCAATTAGTTGTCATGCAAGAAAGTAAGTGGGGAGGGTATGTGCCTGTGTGCACTACGTAGAAACGTGTATGACCCACCTTCCTGTAATCATAATATCACAAAGCTATATATTTGGTTTAGGAAACCTCTTGTCCTCCTTGTGGTACTATTTTCTTTAGAACAAAACCAATTTTCCCTAAACGCTTGCGTAGATTAGTTAGAGTTCGTGCCGACTATATATCAGGTGAAAGATACATTTCATTTGAGATCACACGACGCGAAAATGTTGGGTGCTTTTCCTTGTGGTAGAACCCAACATGTAAGATGCACGCGCTCTAGCGTTGTTAGCGTTATATACTCCGTTTTCATCCCCAGAGCCACGTGGTTTTTTATATGTCGTGATGTGACCGACGACAGCAGTTATTTTTCGGGTAACGTCACTTCTCCCGTTTTAGTGCAAAACAAAACGCTACTGTGACTGAGTATCTTTTAGAATTCCCCTAGCTCGTTCAACAAATATCATCTGCTATTATCAAACTTTGCCAGGGTTCAAATTAAGAATGGAAACGTTTTGCTCCCCCCTAGCATCTTATTTATTTCTCTTTCAATTGTCCCAGTGAAAGAGACCGAAAAGTTCATATCTAGCCTAACTTTCCCGTTTTAATGGCATTAAAACTTGTCAACTTGTAAATTTGTGACAAAAGAAACCAGGAAAGTGTTCGAATATTGCTGCAGACTCCGTGGCACGTCATGAAAGCGTAAATTGATTTAATCAGTCTTTGAGGGGACTCGTTCACCGATGTAGGATATATAATCTCGGTCAACTGAGTAGCGCAGACCTTCAATACTTCTTGCTGCAACGCTAACGCTTCTCAAATCAACATCACTGAGGTGGCAACCGTATGAGAACGTGGTATTCCGTGACTATTTGATAATTAAATTACTTCTTGCTCATCGGTGAAAAGAAAATTTGGGTTTTGAATGAAACAAAATCGTTCTTCTTCCATTTCCTGAATAGCTATTTAAATTTGTTACATTTCCTCATAAGATATTTACTTTCTTCCATTTATCTCTTAAGTTTTCGAGAAAACAAGGGTTTTATGTTACATACCTTTATGAGGAAAACAAAAGTATCAAGTTACAAACGTTGGTGTGAAAAGTAAAATTGTCACGGTTGCTACTCCAACGTTTTATTAAATTTTGAAATGCA